TTTGCAGGCAGAGTCTTTTACCACTGAGCCACCTAGGAAGCCTTAGTATATATTATGGCTGGTAGTAATTCTCCAGTTCCTCCATTTTGAGTGAAGAAAAGAATTAATCAGGATTCTGGGATCAAGAGTTGCTGCAACTAGGCAATGGTGGCTTATGGAATTCTTTATTCAGAAGACTTATGCTGTTGTTCTATTTACAGCCTTAGACTTTCCTTCTGGAAATAGTCAAGGAGATCGTTGCTCATATTTGCTTGACTGTGTTGCTTGGTTTTTATTTTCCACTTCCTTCCTTACATACAGACTATCTGGCTGGACTCTGCAGTGAGTTAGATGCTCCCAGATTGGGAGTCTTGGCTCCATTCTTCTCTGTTGAAGGCGTGGGATCCATCTCTCCTCTTAGGAGATGCTAGGGGTGGGAAGCCCTGCTCTTGTGCTGAAGGCATCACCACACTTCGTCTTTATTCATGTGCCCTCTTTTCACCCTTTGATGAAACAGTCCCCTCCCTGATGCAGTGGGATGCATCTCCAGACAGGGGACGGAAACTTCTGCGCATCCACAGCCCCTGACCCAGGTCTGGGATCCTGGTTGCTCACAAAGAGTCTCATGTTGGCTGCGTCCTGGCTCCAAGGCAGATGCTTCCAGTCTCTGTCCCGAGTCAGAAGGTGAATGAGAGCCTTCAGGGATGTGTGGCTTGTCAGGAGAAGCCTGAAGTTTGTACTTGTTATTTGACCACTCTGTATTTTACATTGTTTTTCTAAGGCTGAGATAGAATATACTGGGAGACTGAGAGAGCTGAGAGGAACTTGGAGAAATTCTAAAATCAAGATGAAAAAAGAATAAAAAGCAGAGAGAGAGGAGAGCTTTTCTTTTGGATTGGTGAAGAGAACCCAATCTGTCTATTTTAAGCAGAAGGGTATTTAACACAGTAAATTAAGTGTCAGTAAGAGCATAGATCAGGCTTTCCTGGTGGCTCAGTGATGAAGAACTTGCCTGTCAATGCAGAAGATGCAGGTTTGATCCCTGGATCAGGAAAATCCCCTGGAGAAGAAAATGGCAACCCACTCCAGTATTTTTCTCTGGAAAATTCCATGGACAGAGGAACCTGGTGGGCTGCAATCCGTGGGGTCACAAAGAGTCAGACACGACTATTCGACTAAACCACCACCTCCACCACAAGAGCATAGTTATGATGACAAAGAAAGTGGGAACAATTTTTTTTTTAATTGAAAGTGGTGAGAAAAAACAGAGATGTACTGAACATATGTTGGCAATATCTTTCTTTGGCCAAGAATGATTCTGAGACACAAAATGTGAATTCAGTGACATATGAACCTATGACATATGAACAGTGAATGGGAAAATGATCGATAAAGGAAAACAACGACAAAAACAGATCACCTTGACCATGTATCATGCATAGAAACTCAACATGGAATGAGGTCATGCATATAAAGTTCTTAGAACAATTTCTGTATGTAGTGAGCAGTCACTAAGTACTAGCTTGGATAAACCAGAGACTGCCCATCATGTTGAAGGTGTGGAGTAACAAAATTTATGCTGCAAGCTGCAGGGAGTTCACTATTTTCAAAACTCATTCTGTTTTTCCACTGTCAAAGCCAGTGGCAAGGCAGCTGACTGTGGAGGTCACCAGAGTCCATATTTGGTGTGGTGATCTGAGTACATCTGAAAGGTGTTAAGGTTGGTGGTGCCTGCCTTAACAGATTCTCTTTATTTTTCCTCCATTAGATACCTTTAAAAAAAATCACAAAAGTAACATATACACATGATATCACATCAAACAACAGAAAGGTATAAAGTTGAGAAATGCACCCAACTTAATTTCCCTAACTCAGTTAACCAAGGTTAATGGCACCACTTATGTCAATCAACACACTTTAAATTCCGATAATATTTGTTTATTTTGGGGAAAAGTTATGAAGTAGAAACTGAAGTAGAATAGCATGCTTTCAAAAGAAGGTCATTGCAGAGGATTATTGGGGGAAATATAAAGACAGTAAGCTTAAATCCTTTATGGAGTTATGAACAAAAGAGTTTGGGGCAACCAAGTTACATTTTTGATATTTTGTTAGTTAATTCTAAAACTAAATTCTTATTGGTATTATTCTGGGGGGAAAAATGCTTATTAAGCAAGACTGTGATCTCCTTAAGTAATAGTATTATCATAAAACCCTGCAAAGAACCTCACACGTGGCGAACATTTGCTAAGTGTTAAAACAGAAAATAGAACATATAACTCTTTAAAAATGTGAGGCCTCTTTTTCATAATACCAACAGAGTTCTCATTTTACCCATTATAATAATCATTTTTTCTCCACTACAATCATTCAAATAACACATAAAATGTTTATATTCAATTTATTAATTTGCTTCATTTAATTATGACTATCGCACCATTTAGGAAAAAGCCTACATATTTAAGAGCTTAATATATTTTTTCTTTGTTTTATTTTGTGATGATTGAATAGTTTTTAAAATGTGTTTTGCTAACCTCCAATATTTCTTTTATGTAATAGTTTTCATTAGCTTGTAGCTGGTTTTTTATTAGCTGGCTTCCTCCTCCTTGCTCTCTTTTCTTCCCTCCTAGGACAACTTTAGTCCTTGTGTTTATCAGAAAATCAAGGCCCTGTATGAGAGAGCTGGGGCATAGTTAGTGAGATGGGGTATCCACCCCACTCAATATGGAGCTTATGACTCACATAGTGACCAAATCCACAGCTCAACCATTTGGTTTTTACTGAGATTCTTGCATATTTATATTTTAGTTTGTGTAAGGAATAGGATCATTGGAAGGACTGACGTTGAAGCTGAAACTTCAATACTTTGGCCACCTGATGCGAAGAGCTGACTCATTGGAAAAGACCCTGATGCTGGGAAAGATTGAGGGCAGGAGGAGAAGGGGACGACAGAGGGTGAGATGGCTGGATGACATTATGGACTTGATGGACATAACTTTGATCAAGCTTCAGGAGTTGGTGATGGACAGGAAGGCCTGGCGTGCTGCAGTCCACGCGGTCGCAAAAAGAGTCTGACACGACTGAGCGCCTGAACTGAACTGAACTGAACTGAAGGAATAGGATTCTTGTGCATCATTAACTATGGAAAGTTTAGGGAAGAGAAACTGGGAAGTGAGAGTTAAAAGATATGTAAGATTGAGATCTCTGGATCTTACTTGTTCTGTTGCTTTCTAAAAGAGAGTTGGTCAGTGACGAGAAAGAGCTAAATTATCTTAATCTGAAAAACAGAGCTTTAGTTAACATTACTTTCTTGTCCTGGAAGAAAATAAAACCATATCTTTAAATACTGTCTTACATGAATGGGTTGAGAGGCTGTAAGAAAGATTGGCATATTACTAACACTTCCTTTTTCTATTCATTAAAAAAGTAAAACTGATGGATTGTAGTTATTGCAAAATACTACTAAATATATCAATAATATTCATTTTTATTGGCTGCTCTCTAGTGAATGCTGCATGACATGTAACATGCTTCTAATTAGATTAATTTATTTAGGGGGAAATGGACCTCATCAGCCAATTTTTCTAATGTTTCCATGACATTTCTTATTTTTTTTTTTTAAGTTTTATGAACTAGGAATTTATTGTCAATGCTTGGTAAATAGCACTATGAATTACTTGCAAGAGATGACAGTTAAGTAGTTTATATTATTAGTGATGCTAAAAGTAAATAGTGACTCTGCCTGCGTCAAGTCCTAACGTTGCCAGTTATTTAATGTGTGACTTTAGCAAATTATTCGACTTTTCTTTCCTTTCTGTAAAGTGTCTCTGTTTACACTAAATCAGCGATAAAAATAATAACTTTTTCTGAGGACTGAGTTAACTCCCATACAGCATTTATAACTCAACAGATGTAACGCAGGATTTTGTTTTTCTGTTCAACAGCAGTGATACATAGTTTGAGCCAGTCCTTTTCCTGAGCAGACACATTCAATCAAACCAGAAATTCCTCCCACCTTGTACCCAAGGGTAGAGTGTATATTCTGGGAACTCGGAGAATAACAGGGCTTTGGAGGGGGTGCTAGAACCACAGATCCGGCTGTGGGTCTTTTCTCACACCCTTGTCTGCAGAGAAGAGCTGTCGTCACCCTGCGGGGGCTTCCCTACTCAGCTCTCTTCTCATCCTCGTCCGAAATGCCCGCTTCACACCTGGCCCTGGTCACAGAGAAACTGCAACGCTGTCTCAGCCCCATCAGCCCAGGCTCTCTGTGCCTTGGTTCCTGACCCTTCTAGCACCCTGGATTCTCCCCGGGGTGTGGACCCCAGGCTTCCTGCATTCTCTGGCTCCATAGAGCTATCTGATGGTTTGCATATGTAGATAAGATGAACTCTGGGACGAATTTAGAAGCATAGAACCGTACGTATCTATGAGATTTGTCAAATTATTATTCTTAGTATTTTGATCAAACTCTTCCAAGTTCCATTTTTCTTTTTCCCTTTGAAGGGAGAAAGAGGATTAGAGACAGTAGTTAGAATGTGCAGACACATTACCAAGGATTCTGGGCTCTCACTCCCACCGAGCTCTGGCCAGGGGACTCCCCTGGATTCTTGATGAGTTGACATTCTGACCATTAAACTAGAGAAGCCAGTATAAAAAGCGGTGACTCTAAGAAGGGAGTTTGTACAGTCACAGTTTGGTACAGTAACAGTTGAAACAGATGAAAGCATATTGCAGAGTGTGAGGAGGGACAGGTCAGTTCTGGTTAGTGACTCACAGAAAGGGGAGAGGATGGAGGAGGAGGTATTTGATTCAGGTCTGGGAAGATACGTGGGCTGTTAAGTCAAAATACATGTTGCAGAGAAAACCTGTTCTTGCCCTTTTGTTCCCAAAGCTTATGTTTTTTCATCCTCCACTTTAATGAATAGAAGAGTGTTTTGTGAGATACGTTCGTAAGGTTACTCCTTTCTGCCCGTGGACGCCACCGAGAAAGCATCGTTGAAGACTTCCCCGCCTCCACTGCCGTCATGTCTAAATCAGAGTCTCCCAAAGAGCCCGAACAGCTGCGGAAGCTCTTCATCGGAGGATTGAGCTTTGAAACAACTGATGAGAGTCTGAGGAGCCATTTTGAGCAATGGGGAACTCTCACAGACTGTGTGGTAATGAGGGATCCAAACACCAAGCGCTCCAGAGGCTTCGGGTTTGTCACATACGCCACGGTGGAGGAGGTGGATGCGGCCATGAATGCAAGGCCACACAAGGTGGACGGAAGAGTTGTGGAACCGGAGAGGGCCGTGTCAAGAGAAGATTCTCAAAGACCTGGTGCCCACTTAACTGTGAAAAAGATTTTTGTTGGTGGCATTAAAGAAGACACTGAAGAACATCACCTGAGAGATTATTTTGAACAGTATGGAAAGATTGAAGTGATTGAAATCATGACTGACCGAGGCAGTGGCAAAAAGAGAGGCTTTGCTTTTGTAACCTTTGATGCCCATGACTCCGTAGACAAGACTGCCATTTAGAAATGCCACACTGTGAATGGCCACAACTGTGAAGTGAGAAAAGCCTGTCTAAGCAAGAGATGGCTAGTGCTTCATCCAGCCAGAGAGGTCGAAGCGGTTCTGGAAACTTTGGTGGCGGCCGTGGAGGTGGTTTTGGCGGGAATGACAACTTTGGTCATGGAGGAAACTTAAGTGGTCGAGGTGGCTTTGGTGGCAGCCGTGGTGGTGGCGGATATGGTGGCAGTGGGGATGGATATAATGGATTTGGTAATGACGGAAGCAATTTTGGAGGTGGCGGAAGCTACAATGATTTTGGCAATTACAACAATCAATCTTCAAATTTTGGACCCATGAAAGGAGGAAACTTCGGAGGCAGAAGTTCTGGCCCCTATGGTGGTGGAGGCCAATACTTTGCCAAACCACGAAACCAAGGTGGCTGTGGTGGCTCCAGCAGTAGCAGTAGCTATGGCAGTGGCAGAAGGTTTTAATCACTGCCAGGAAACAGAGCTGAGCAGGAGAGGAGAGCCGGAGAAGTGACAGGGAAGCTACAGGTTACAACAGATTTGTGAACTCAGCCAAGCACAGTGGTGGCAGGGCCTAGCTGCTACAAAGAAGACATGTTTTAGACAATACTCATGTGTATGGGCAAAAAACTCGAGGACTCTACTTGTGACTAATTGTGTAACAGGTTATTTTAGTTTCTGTTCTGTGGAAAGTGTAAAGCATTCCAACAAAGGGTTTTAATGTAGATTTTTTTTTTTTGCACCCATGCTGTTGATTGCTAAATGTAATAGTCTGATCATGACGCTGAATAAATGTCTTTTTTTTTTTTTTTAATGTGCTGTGTAAAGTTAGTCTACTCTGAAGCCATTTTGGTAAACTACCCCAACAGTGTGAAGTTAGAATTCCTTCAGGGTGATGCCAGGTTCCATTTGAAATTTATTTACAACCTGCTTGGTGGAGAAGCTGTTGTCTTCAGAACCTTGGTGTAGTTGAACTGACAGTTACTGTGTTGTGACCTGGAGTTCACCATTAAAAGGGTCACCCATGCAAAGTCATGGAGGTTTTTTTTTTGGTTATTAATGATTGTTGGCACATCCTATGCAATATATCTAAATTGAATTATGGTACCAGATAAAAGTTATAGATGGGAATGAAGCTTGTGTATCATCCATTATCATGTGTAATCAATAAAAGATTTAATACCCTCAAAAAAAAAAAAAAAAGAAGAGTGTTTTGTGGAGAAAAGCATGTAGACTCTGGAGCCGTCGGGCTCAGCGGTGTCACTGGATGACCTGGGAGAATGGATGGCTGAATGTCTGTACAATGACCACGACCTCGTCCTTCTGGGCAGACGGAGTCAAGTGCTGAAACATACATGGCGCACCCGAGTTCCAGGCCAGCTCCTGTAACAACTCAATAAATACTGTTTCTTTCCTTACTTTTGACCCCAGAGGTTTAGTGTGAAATTTATTTAGTGTGTACTAGGAACTTGGGCAAAACTCCTTTTAGGAACTGTGTTCTGTAAATAAATATTTATAGTCATGGTCTACTTTGTCCTGGAAGGATCTGTAAAATGCAAGACTTTACTGCCATTGATACCTAACCCCAATTTTTATAATCATAAAATGGAGCAGAATAATGGGTGATATACAGAGCCTACAGTGAGATATTGACTTGATTTATATGTTTTTTTTAGCTACTAAATTCTACAGAGGCTATTTTAAAAGGAAACACATCTGAAAAGCTAACATATAAGATTTTACAAGTGGTTGTATTTAGCAGAAAACATGTTTTTCTGCCAGTTGATCTCTTGAGAATTAGGTCACCAGGTCACTACTCTCTTCCTCCTAATTGGACTTTGATAACATCTAATTGGACAACTCTGTTTCTTTCTTAGATCTTTTTGGTCTTATTATGTAGAAGTTTATTCCAACTCAAGAAGAATAAGGCAGCTACCCTAGAGTGCAGCTGAGAGGCCTCGTAAGTTTGAGCAATGGGGAAGGGAACCAAGAACTAGCTTTCTCAGCCAAGTAGGCTAAACTTGAAGATATAGATTCACAAATGTCCAAATAAAATTTCTTTATTGACATAGAGGAGAATTTCCAGCCTTGGTACTGCTGGGTGTGGGTTTGGGGAGTGGAAAATTAAAAGAAAGAAAACCCAACTATAAATGGAGATGAAATCAAAATACTAGTCTATAAAAAATCTGGTTTTAATTTGCACTAAGGTAAAACCCTTTATAAGCTTCCCTGGTAGTTCAGCTGGTAGAAAATCCATCTGCAATGCAGGAGACCCCCGTTCGATTCCTGGGTCAGGAAGATCCCCTGCAGAAGGGCATGGCAACCCACTCCAGTACTCTTGCCTGAAGAATCCCCATGGACAGAGGAGCCTGGCAGGCTACAGTCCATGGGGTCACAAAGAGTCAGACACGACTGAGTGACTAAGCGCAGCACAAAACCCTTTATGCTTATTCTATGCAACCACACGCTTGAAGTGTTTGAAATCACAAAATGGCAAAATTTATAAGTGAGAATCATCTTGGATTAGTCCTAAATAGGGTTATTCTAATAGGGCAAATAATCCACCTGAAAAATCTACTCATTATTCATGTCTGCATAGCACAGCTGAGTATCAGCAGAAATAGGTTTGTCTCAGAAAGAAAACTATGAGTAGACTGACATTTGACTTAGCTGTTATCTTGAAGAATTCAAATCCATTCCCTTCTGCAGGATTCCTCTGGACAGCATCAGCCATCCAGCTCACTCTGTGCTGTCTGACCTGGCTCCTGTCTCATGCAATTTTGTATGACTGAATTTTTTTTGCTTAAACCTGTCATGTTTGGTATTTGGTGGAGGGTATAGGTGCGTCCTGGTGGTTTGTAAGTTATGAAACCATTTATGAGTACCACTGAGAGTCAGTCCATTCATTTTAGTGTGAATGTTTTTTCCACTGGTTTGCCTTTCATTTTGCCAACATCAGCTACTTCGATACCGTGGTAGTATTCACTGCTTGCTGGGAGCAGCAGACTCAGGCATCATTTCCTGTGATGTTGTAGATTCCGTTTGGTGTCCTACTCTGTCTGCTTCCTCCTCATCTTTTTCCTTTTATATTTTATATTTTCTTTTATATTTTCCTTTTATTTTCATATTTGGCCAGTAGTTTCTGGTACTTATAGAGTTTTAACAGAACTTTAGATGTTTAATAGTGATTTTAAAGGCAGTACACCACTTTTGTGCTTACAATAAATTCATAAAAGAAATGTCACTATTAGAATTTTTCCTGAAAAAATTTTCAATTGTTAATAAATGGCATTTGGTAAGAAAAATTTATAAACATTGAGACTTGCTCTTAATTGTCAGGAAACTATTTTATCTAGTAGGTGTGTGTTGAGGGCCTACTGGTGATGAGAAAATATGCCTTCTCCCCTCATCTTCCTCCCACCACACCTACTATAAATAGCTGGAGAATAACTCTTTAAGTATATACAGCAAATAAAACATGCTGCAAGTGTGGCCCCAGATGCTCTACGAATCCAGAGTGGAAGGAAATTTCAGCTTGTGTGGGGTAATGATTGGGGAGTTAGCAGATGAATGGGTCTTGGAAGACTTGTGATGGGTAAAGATTGAGGATGAGCAATGTAAGTAGAAAGAATGACAGGACTAAGTCCACAAAAGCAGCAAATATGGGATATCTTAGAAAAAATTAGAAAGGGGAGTAAAGGGAGTAAGTTCCCAAGTTAAAATAAAACGGCATTGTAGATAGCCTGAAATAAAGATCACATGGTGTATTTTGTTGTTTAAAATCTGTTCAGATTCAATGTGGCATGAACGTAAAGCACTGAAATAAAATTTCACAGCAATTCTCATATGAAATACACTCAAACTCCATTAGGCGTCAGTACTTAAACGTGGTGGCCTGCACACTCCCCATAGACCTGTTGGAGTTTCCTGGGCTGGGAGACGTTCTGGAAGCCAGCGTGTGTCACCATGGTGCTGCTGTTGATCTCAGTGTCTTGGGAAAAGAACAGGAACGTGGGGAATCCAGGCCTTCATCTGGGTGGTTAGAAGGAAATGTCCCTTTTCAGAAGGAGCTAAGCATCCATCTCTAAGGATTCTTATCACACGCCCAGTTTGGTCATTGATTATAATTTCCGTTTTCTGGTCATGGGTTAATTGGCATATATACACTGTGCTGTGCTGTGGTGTCTGACTCTGTGACCCCATGGACTGTAGCCCGCCAGGCTCCTCTGTCCATGAGGATTCTCCAGGCAAGAATACTGGAGTGAATTTCCATGCCCTCCTCCAGGGCATCTTCCCAGCCCAGGAGTGGAACCCAGGTCTCTTGTGTTGCACCACTATGTATAAAATGGATAACTAACAAGAACCTTGGAGTAGGAAATAGCAGCCCACTCCAATATTCTTGCCTGGAAAATTCCATGGACAGAGGAGTCGAGTCTGGTGGGCTACAGCCCATGGGGTCGCAAGGAGTTGAACATGACTGAGCATGCATCCAGTGAGAGCCTACTGTGTAGAACAGGGAGCTGTACGCAGTGTTCTGTGGTGACCTCAGTGGGAAGGAAATCTAAAAAGAGACGATGCAGGTACATATACAGGTGACTCACTGCCCTGCAGTGAGTGCTGTTAGAAACTAACAGCATTGTAAAGCAGCTATACTCCAATTTAAAAAATAGAGATTTTGGGAAAAAAAAATTAGATTTATTCATATAATGGCAAACCATACCTAAGTTGAATTAGACTGGCTTTATGTGTCTCAAAAGCTTCATAAATAAGATTTGAGTTCATAAAACAGAAACATAAAAATAATACATACACACAACTTTAATTTGAGGATTTCTGATAAGGAAGCCAGAAGAGCAAAAACTTTGGAGCAAAGACTTTTAGATATCAGCATTATATCCCACTCATTATCTGTCATTATTGAATTTATTTTTATAGTATCATAAAATAATCTTTTTGTACATAGAATTCTCCGAGGCTCAGTCTGTAATCACCAAGATAGCTTGTGCCTTTATGAAATAGTAACTTCTTTTGCTCTGGGATGATGATAAAATTAGAAAGGTTTTGTGGTAATAAAAAAAGAGGAAAGAACCATTACTGATGCAGCATCATTTAGGAAATGATATGTTTAATCAATTTTAGAAAAGCAAAGCTGTATTGAAAACAAAAAGTGCCTATCGGTTTACTTTTATGGGAAAAATGTAAATTTTCTGAGTAGTTGAGTCAAATCCCAAAATACCATACGACTTTGTAACGCAAAAATGAAAAGCATCTATTGTATTCAAACCATGTGTTCAGGCTAAAAGGTAACGTTAACTGGATTTCCCAAATCCAGCCTGGAAACTTTGATATCCTTCTGGGCCACGTGGGGCTTAGAAGCCTCTGCCTATGGAGGATCAGACTGTCTTTTATCAGCCTGTCTGCCCCTGATCCAGTCGTGTTCCTATTAAGTTCTGCTGTAACCCCTC